GTAAACCTATGAGAAATAAAGCTTGTAATTGAAAAATCATAAACTCTATATTCATGTCTTACTATATAAATGAAATGGTAATTTATCCATTATTCGATTTAAAAAGCTTTGAGCTCCGATACTTTACTTTCTAGTATGAAGACTTTTCTACTGATGAGCATTAAAATATAAGGGTATAGATTTACATAGATTTACGTTCAATGCTATTCAGGGCAAGTGATGAATCTGGGACATTATATCATTTGGCGTGTCAAATTTTACAGCAAATAGATCAGGATAGCTGCCCATAGTTCTGGAATTTTAATAAGCCTCAGCAGAAAAATGGAATCAGGACATTAATGAGTAAATATATTTTATAGTTTGGTAGGAGGAAGGATAAAGGAGCAGCTGGATGTATACCCTAGGATTTAGGATATAAGTTAATATAGACAGATTTGTGCAAAATTTCATAACATCTAATCGCCAAAAAAACAATTTAAACAAAACATATTTGCAATGATTTCGCCAAATTGCATTCTTGTAATCGTATACAGTCAAAATTTTCAAAAGAAATATTCAGAGAATTTGACCGGAACCCAGGAACATTTACTGCATTGTAAGCAAACACTGAGACGGCAATTCTAAAATAAACAATGGCTTAGTAATTAAATCATAACAAATTACCCAGGATAAAATTATATATCACTAGATCAACACATGATCATTGTAGCATAATACCCAAAATTTTTTTTGAATTCTAGAGCTTCTTATCTATCTTTTTTACTTAACTTTTTGTAGAAGAATCCTCACATTATTGTTAACTGGAACTTGGTTTTATGAATAGATAATTCTCTCGGTCAAAGTGAATGGAACCACAACCACTTTACCGCAGTTAAAAACTCGATTTGGCTGTCCATGAGGCGAGTTTCCTCTTAATAAGAAGACCGGAAACCCCAGAGTAGGCATCGTATACCATGGAAAAGCGAGATAGTGACTCCTCTAGGAGGCGAGATAAAGAAGTGAGGAAAAAGGCTGAGTGACACATTTCTTATATACTTTGTTAATCAGGAGTGAACTCTTAATGTAGTCCTGGCAAATTAATTTGGTGCATGTTATTACAACAGTGGAAGATTGGACGAGTAAGTTGGTCCTAGTTCGAGAGGTGATATATGAGACATACTGGCATATGAAGGTATAGGCTATTAGAATATTCAAACAAACTAGATAGAGTAAACTATCTATGCCATAGAGTCTGATAATGTGAATAACCTCTTCCTAGCCCTCGGGACTTTTAGCCTCAGAAGATGCGGTGACATGTAAGTCGCTTAAGGCGAAGACTGCTGCAACAAAGGGAGAACAGCTACGCTAATTGGACCAAGATGAAAATGTGCTGAGTAAAATCGGTATGAATGAGCGAGATCGTTTGATTTACCTGAAGTAATTTTCGCCTAGTCTAGTAAAGTAGACTAGAGCTACATCTGATTATTGGATAAAATCATGTAGAAAATGATAGAGTGACAAAAGCTTTAAGGCAAGACGAGAAGGCTTAACCAACTTGGATTCTGGTATAGGCTCTATGGTGTCAACTGATTCATTAAAATTGTATAGATGCAGTACACATGCATTCACAAGCTTGAAAGAAGTGTCAGCATTGTATAAGTATACGAGAATGTATTCACTTAGGGAGAAAGCTGTGACAACATCAGTTCCTTTTGCGAGCATCAACTTCACTTATCTACAAACATGTAAATAAAATAGGAAACAGCAAACCAAACGCTGAGAAACCTTATAAAGATCATCAAGTTAGATAAGAGAAGTAATTAGGATGTTAGTCAGCCACCTACAGATGTAATATTGTTTGCTCTGGTGATAATAATCATAAAGCAGACGGAAGTTCTGCCTTGATTCATTTAGGTGACAAGACGGCGAACTAATTTTGTTTTTGCACAACCCATCGGTCAATAATCTAAATCAACCCTTATTCAGTTATTGGTGAATTAAATTTCCGAATAGTTTTCATCTACATATTTAAACGAATGTTGCAAACATCAATAATTAAAAATGGTATTTTGGGGTTCCTTAGGCCTAAAAGTCCTTTTACAATAGACTCTTGTATCCGGATGCTTTAAACACTTGTAAAGTGCGTATTTTTTCTTGGCTCTGATTCTAATCTTTATGCCCTCTATGATGCTTGGTTTATTTATAATTGGTTATTTTCATTTTCGCCGATATAAATCATCTTTAGCAGTACATTTTACCGTCTACTTAGACGTAAAACAATCTTTTACGAGAAGGCAAGTCTATATAGTTGTAAAATTTAGTAAATATTCAGATTAGTAAAAATAACTAAAATCTTACATTGTCAAATTATTAGTGAGTTTTATTACTTTAAATAATTTTTATTTGTTTTACAGACTGCAACCTTAGTGAGAAGGTATCCCCGCCTCTCAAATTTGCTAACTTCAATGGTAAATGGAACAATACACTATACTAGGCCGAATTGGAGAGGGGGCACACGGAATAGTTTTGAAAGCGAAACACATTCAGGTACTCACTTCGATTGCCTGATCACCAGAGCGGAGAACTTGTTGCCTTAAAGAAAATACCACTGCGAAAGCTCGACGATGGGATTCCAAACACAGCATTAAGGTAACGAAAGTAATATTATTAAAATAGAGAAATTAAAGCTCTCCAAGTAATTGAGGATAACCCCTATATTGTGAAATTAAGAGAGGTTTTCCCTCACGGAACCGGTTTCGTTTTGGTTTTCGACTATATGCTTTCTGATCTAAGTGAAATAATAAGAAATTCCGAAAATCCATTAAATGAAGCACAAGTCAAAAGCTACATGTTAATGTTGCTTAAAGGTGTTGGCTTTATGCACGAAAATAGCATAATGCACAGGGATCTAAAACCGGCGAATTTATTAATCAGTTCTGAAGGCGTTTTAAAAATAGCTGATTTTGGTTTGGCTAGAGTATTTCAGAAGGATAAGGAGCGTCTATATAGCCACCAAGTAGCGACAAGGTAAGTCTGCACCCTAA